GGGGGCCCTGCGCTGGGACCCCTCCCGCCCCATCCCGCTCCCGCCCTCCGGCCCCCAGAGCACGCAGGGCATTTGTAAAGTAAAAATCAAGAAAATGCTGATTACTCTGGAAAATCCTAATGGGAAGGGCCCTTCCCCAACTCCTTTCCCGGGTGAATTGTGCCCGTGAGAGCTTTTGCCTCTCAGTGGCGGGGGGCAAAGGGGGGTTTTGAACAGAAAAAAATATGGGTTGCGGGTAACAAATAAACAGCTTTACTTTTCTTTTTTAAGGAAAGTAAAAAGCATGTGCAAGAAAAGGAAATTAGGATCCGTCTGGTGCCAAAGATTGAACGCGATGATTAGTGTTACAGGCAAGCACGTTTATGTTGACCCAGTATCTCTCACAAGTAGTGAAGATAACACTGGGGCCCTGGTGGAGTGAAGGGATGAAAAAACAGCACCAATGTTCCTTAAATGTCAGTTTTGTTAATGTTCTTATGAGTTTATTATGTTGGGGAGCAGAGGCCTTGTAGACACAAGAAGAACATGATGGGCAAGCACCGAAAACCTTGCAGACTAAGTCAGGACAGTGGGTAGCTGGTGGCAGGATTCTTGCTTCTCCTGGGCTCTCCAGGGTAAGTGGAGCGAGTCCAGCAGAGGCCCACAGAGATGGCAACCTGCGCTGGCCCTGAAGGTGGCCCTGCTCTGAGTAGGGGCCAGACAGCCTCCAAAGGCCCCTAGGGTTATGCTGTGAGGGACAGCACAAGGACACCGTAGGGAGGAGTACCGAGAGCTCTCGGTTTTGCTGAGGATGCCGTAGTGGCACGTGTGGACGTTTTGGTTGGGGAGGATTTGAACCCACCTCTCAAAGGAAAAAGGCAACTGTGGAGGACAAGTGCTCATGGTGTGCTGCCGGCTGCATCCTCCCTGACCCCCCATCTGTCTCTTTTCAGAAACACGAGTTCTTTGTGGACATGACCTGTGAAGGCTGCTCCAATGCGGTCACCCGTGTCCTGAACAGGCTGGGAGGTGAGTCAGTGCTGGGTATGTGACAGCCAGCTTGCCGGAGCAACTCCAGCTCCAGGGCAGCATGTCAGTGCCCTGGGATCCTCCATCTTGCAAGGGTAGTGCTGTGGGTAAAAGCTGAAAGTGCCTGATTTGAAACCTCCACTCCCTGCTCTGCTCTGAGCCTGCTGCTTAGTAACGAGTCACTGATTGCTCGCAGGACTCGTGTGACCCTTGGAGAAATGTCAAGGGAGGAAGGAGCTGCCATGGCTGCAGGTGGCTCTGAATCACTAGGGCCTCATCCTGAACCCTTTGGGAATGGCACTGGTAGACCCCTGCTCAGGCTGCCTGATGTGGATGTCCTGCCTGGTGGATGTCCTGCCAGGCGTTGTTCCCAAGGAGGCTTGGGGTATCTGTGGTGCTTCCCTAGATGTGTCATCAGCAGTCACAGAGAAGAGCTGCTGAGTAGAGCATTTGGTGGTTGCCCGCACAGCCTGTTTTTAATACCACCAGGAAAATTATAACCTGTGCCTCCTTTGTGCTGGGATTACCAAGAGAGAAGGATCTGACCCACACTAACCAGTTGTGAGGACCTGTCATCCTGCTCCCCTGTCCTCACCGAGTGAGAACAGCTTTCAGTCACCAAGGCAAAGGCCTTGCAACTTCTTCCAGACCCTGTTACCAGGCTGTGGTGATCCCGCTTCCTCGGTCTGTGGTTGTCAGCCTCTCCATCACTTCAACATGCTGGCCAATATCAGCCGCATGTGATGACATGGCAGAGCTCTCAAAGCTGATACATACCTACAAGTTTTGTGAAAGTATGTGGCTGGATAGAGACTTCATGTCCAGTTCCTTTCACTGGGCTGAGAGTGGCTTACTCTTATTAGCCACTGGGAAATCCACATGGGAAAGCGTCTTTTCCGTCCCTCCTACTTACAGCTGTTAGCTGGTACCGCCACTGAGGAAACCTGTCCTAACCCCTATGCTAACTCCCTCCTTAGTGCCTATCCATGCTAAACCACAGCACAGGCTGAGCTGGTTGGAGATTATAGTGCTTGGTTTAAATTCAGCTCATTCTGGTTATTGCCTGAGTGATTGCATTGATCCCAGGTGGGGTGAGCAGATTAAAGCAGTTGAGAAACTATGGTGCCTGATGCAGATCAATAGGAGATCTGTCTTCCTTCATACCATTGCTGGTAAGACACCAGTTTGGTTTTGCTGGCTGGTGGTGGTATCAGGGTTTGCTGGCAGGAAGCACACGTACGTTTGACTGATGGCCTTGGGAGCACAAATGTGTGAAGGTGAGCTTTCCCCATGCTCGCAGCATTTGGTTGCTTCTAGCTGTGCAATCTTTTTTTCCTCTCCTTGTAGGTGTCCAGTTTGATATTGACCTGCCCAACAAGAAGGTGTGCATTGACTCGGAGCACAACATTGACACCCTGTTGGAAACCCTAAAGAAGACTGGAAAGAACGCTTCCTACCTTGGGGAGAAGTCTGCGCAGTAGCCTTGCCTGGTGTGAGGAGGCTAGGTATATACCAGGTGTATGAAATGCTGAAGAGACAGATCTGAGCTTTTTCCAGCTCTCCCAGTAAAACAGGCTCCTTCCTAGGAAGCACAAAGTAGGAAAGACCTGCAGGTCCAGCTTCAGCAAACCCCTCATATCAGAGAAGCAGCTGGACCACACACAGTCAGCACCATTTCTGTGTGGACCCCTTCGCTACTCCGCAAAGCCCATGTGATCCCAACCGTGGCTGTAGTGGAGAGGTAGAACACAGCCTCTGTGCCGTTCCCAGGTGAACCTAGAGTTTGCCAGAGCATATCATGCATGAAAACAAATCCCAGAGACATTCACCAGCTGACCAGAGAGAGTGCTGGCCCCCAGCGTATTGGGGGGAGGGTGATGGGACACAAAGACCCCTGTGGGTGCGTGATGCAGGGGGTTGGTTGCTAGCGTGAGGACCTCCAACATCTGATTCTGTTGATACCACTGTTAATCCTCCACTAAACTCAAGGATGGAAAAAGAGCAGCACCCTGCTGCCCTCATGGACATAAAATGTTGGATTTCAGAATAGCTCCCAGTGCATACAGCCCCTGGCCAACTGGACATCTGTCCCAAAGACAACCTGATTGTTGCAGTCTGTCAGTTTTCCTAGAGTCCCAGCAGTATGAGGACATGTACAAAACTCTTTCCTGACTGTAAAATGTTTTTGCAGACAGGGTTCATTTTCAGTGGAAAAGAATGAAGTGGGAGGAGAGGGCTGCCCACTCACTGCATGCATTGTTCTTTAGAGTCCAAGATTATTATATTGCATCTCTTAAGAGCTTGTTTCTGTCAGTGGAGCTTTCTAATCCAATGACATTGTTTTAAAACGGTCTAGTTTGATCATCACAAATACCTAGCACAGATGCACTGAAACCAGTTCATGCTGATTTAATTCCTATTCAGTAAATTAAATCAGGAATTTACACCAGCAGGAATTAAACTGATACAAGAAAGAGTTGAGCTGATGCTGATGTGTGCATGCAATAGATCTGCGTTGTTTTAATAGACTGACTTAACAAATTTAAAATCTGCAGTTTGTATCATTTGAGCAAGCTCTCAATACTTCTTAGAAGTTGTTTAAAAGCATAGCTTTAATCAGATAACATTGCTATTTAAAACGGAGAGAAACATGTTCTGAATTGGTTAGTGCCTCAGTTTTCAGCTCATAGTATTGACTGCAAGAGCTGTTTTCAACTTGCAGGGACTTGTGGACTATGTCTCAAATGCCTTCAAAAGTTAACCATTACAGTAAAGCCAGTCTCAGATAATGTGGATGTGTCCCTTTTTTCTCTGGCCCTGTGTTCTCACCACTTTCCTTATATTACATCGAGCTAGGAAGTCAGGTCAGCTGGCCAACCTGGCGGAACATTTCTCTCGATGCTTTTGTTTTCCTGCTGGATTTTAACTCAAGCTATGGATTTACCCAAGTATCGTAAGATCCAAAACAAAGGAGAGGGGTGGCTGGACTGCCCTTGCTAGTAGTTTGCTGCTAGATCACTTCAGCTGTCATGGGAAAAGACACTAAATTTAAGTTTTACAGCACCTTTCCCTCCATAAGGAATATTTTTAGGGGTTCATCTATAAAAGGAGGCAGGGAAGTTGCAGATCACTGGCACAGAGCTCAGGTGGCTGGCTTTCCTTTGGCTTGTGACCGGCAGAGGGCATCTTTGTATAACGTTATCTCCTCTGTGCCTTGGTATTTTTTCCTTTTATTTATTATTATTTATTTATTTTGCAGGAACTCAAACATGACTTCAACAAAAAGATGGCTTAACTGTTTGCATATCTCCCAACTTGCTCTGTCATTTCACCTTTACTACCCTGCCAGATGTCGGAAAGCAGAGGGCTGGCAGGAGGAGACAGCTGCGTCTTGGGCTTTAAAAGTGGAGAAACTAGAGGAGGAGGTTATATGCTGTTTCTAGTCCCACAGTAAATCGAGGTGCTGCTTCTATCTTTCAGTGTATGTCTATGTGTCTTGTGTGTCTTGTACTGCTTTAAGTGGTTTTCTGTAAAAGAGATGGCTCTTAGGGATGGGAAACTACCCATTACATGCAAGACAGGTCTCCCAGGAAATTGCACCTATCTTTAGAAGTTGACTGCAACCTCTGCCTGAGGGATATGTCTCAGGAGAACTGAACTTCAATGTCACTTTGATTCAGGGAATCTGTGTCTTGACAGATGTCTTTCCATCACAGAACAGACAAACTTTCCATTTGGGATGCAAGTGCTGGGAAGAAGGGACTCTTGCAGCCCCCGTAAGTCAAGGATAACCAAGTGTCCTTTTGAGCTAGATGGGGCACAAGGCAGAAGTCACTGGACCCCAGCAACATGATTGAGCTCACCAGCCAACCAAATTGCAAGTAGGAGCAGGGAGCACAGGCTCAGCCTAGGTTTAGTACAGTGCTTTTTAGGGCACTGCATGACCTTAGAAATTTGAGGAATCATTCCGGTTCCTGGGTCCAGCTCAAGACACCTGGATCAGTCCCCTCCCCTGTCAAGTGTTCCTCTTGCCCCCTCCTCTGCTCACATCCAAAATCTCAACCAAATGGGTAATAGCATCATGGGGGTCTGATGCTGGGCAGGATCCCCAGGTGCTGCATGCACCCACAGGCACAGCAGGAGATGCCTGTGCTGATGAGAAATCTTGCATGCCCAGTGACCAGCATTATGAGCTATATTGTTGATTTGTCCAGCTCCCATTCATTTAATTCAGGTTTTCAGCCCAGTGAAAAGATTGCATGTGTCTGTCCCAGTCTGCTGTCTCTTGTTTCACCTGGGGGATGTCTGCCATGCCTACCAGTCACATGCAATTTGTTCTATAGAGAGGAAAACTAGCTAAAGTTTGAAGGAAAAGGTTGCTCTATATTTAACAGTTTTTTTCATACTTGCACATTGAGATTGCTTTTGACATAGTTACAGTTTAGGCTTTCCTAGAGAGCTTTAGTACTTCCAAGTCCTTCTTTGCCATTGATCTAAAGCACAATTAATTGCTGTAGGTGCACTTGCAGGGGCTAGAAACGCTTCAAGGAATGTGTTGCAGACGCTTTTTATTACTTTTTAGTTTAAGGGAAGCTAAAGGATATAAATCTAACATCACTGCATTAAAAACATTCTTGCATTAAAACCTCTCAGTGGCAGGAAGTTTCTAGAGCCAAGGCCCAGAACCACAACCTGTTTCTACTTTGTGCCAGTGCACTCAGATGCACGGCATGACACCTCCGGGGTCCCGGGTGAGCGAGTGAATCCCCTTTCCAGCCCCCTGCCCTTGTTGGTCTGAGCTGGTGTTTGCCAATGTTAGTTATTATTTATTGCTTTCAGCTTCCTCCCAGGCACGGCCAGTGCATCCACCAGCAGCTGGTTGCCCAGTGGCTCTGCTCTGGTGGCACTGGGCGGGGAGAGGACTTGTGCTGTCGATTTGGTGTGGAGCTGGATGGCACGTGGTGGCACAGCTGGCCTCGGAGCCAGCAGTCCTTGTGGTGCTTGCTCTCTGCCAAACTGGCAGGTGGGACCAGCAATGTTGTGCCCACAGAGGATAACTCCCAGTCTGTCTTGCTGTAAACAGGCTGCTCATCCTTGATGTCTGGGCTGCAGCTTATGCTATCCATACTCCCCCGGCTACTCTGCTCCCCTCTCCCTGCTCTGCTAAAGCTGAACCATCTGTTTTGGTTAAAGCCTGCTTATCTGTGAGCCAGACAAGGAAAGGTTTCTACCCACGACTGGCCAGGAGGTTCGCGCAGATACCTGAAGTCTCAGCACCCATCTGCAGGGTTGCAGTCTCCCAGGCCTTCCCCCTGCCACTCAGTGCAGCTGGAGGGGCTGGACGCTGCTCTTGACTGCTGCAAAAAGGATGTTGCAGCTTTGGGTGGAAATTGGCCGCAGTGGCGAGCTGTGGTCACCCTGAGCTGACTGCAGTGTGGTGGGAATACATGCTGCCCGGAGCGGAGCGAAGCGACCCTTCAGAAAACCTGCCTGGAGCTGGTCTCCATCCACCGGAGCAGTGATGTCCAGGCTGGGGGCTCTTCCCCTCCTGCTTCCTGCCCTGGGCCTTAAGAAATGCCTCTAACTGTCCCTCGCAGCAGGCAATCGTTACGCTAGGCTGCTGTGCTCTACCCTGCCGTTAGCGTCATTTAAAGCCCCTATAATTTCCCTGTGTGCGCAGCACGGCAGGGACTGGCCACAGCCACTTCCCTGAGGTGTCCCTGCCACTTGCTTTCCAATGGAGACTCTGTGTGTGCAGGGTTTGTGGGTGTTCATACCTGATGGCTCGTGGCATTTGATGTCCTGCTCCTCACTCAGTGTCCCAGAGCAGAGGGGACAGAGGGGTGACAAGTCTGTATAGGCCACCTCTCTGTGGTGCCATACCCTGAGGATGCCGATGGGAGTGAGCAGTTGGGAAAGCACCAAGGGCTCCTTTGAGCCCTGCTTCAGCCTTCCCTCAGTGGCCCCAGTGCTCAGACCCTCCTGTCGCATCCCTCTTCCTTTCCCCTGGGCCTGTGGAGAAGGGAAGGGAGCTGCTAGGGTTTCTTCTCCAGCCAAGAGGAGGAAAGCACCATGATGGTCACTAACTCCAGCACTCCAGGCACATTTAGTGAAAATACCAAAGAACCGGGACAACTCCTATTAGAGCAAGGCTGGAGGATGACACCCAAGCTGCTGCTTGGTTTTTCCACCAAAAGCCCAGCAGGACAGCATCACGTGTGCTGCCCCATCAACCTTGTAGGCTTATCAGGGGAACAGGGCGTTTCAAACGGGACCTGGCAATCTGCAGACTGCTCTCTTTCTGCCTGCTTTCCTTTCCTCCGGATAAGATAAGGTGTTTGGGGAAGATGACCTGCTCGTCCTGCTCCAGGACAAGCGAGCACAGGAGGCTCTGCACCAGCACTCCTGAAGCAGTGGCTCTGCAGGAGAATAGGGTGCCTCCCAAAAGGCCACCTCTCCCATGAACACGCAGCCAGAGCTGAGTAATGACACCCTGTGAGAGTCCTTGCCTTGGTGTCTGGGCTGCGTTTGGGCTGATTACAGCTGGGCTAGGGAAGTTAAGGAAGGATGGTGGAATCTCAACAGAGCAGCAGACCTGCAGGGTGGCAGTCTGAGAGGCTTATGGAAAAGCTTTGGGAGAAAAAACAGCTCCTTCATAGAGTCTAAAAGGATAAGACAGTCAGTATGTAAGCAGAGTCTCTTCACTCCGCCACTGCCCAACTTCAAGATCTTCAAAATCTTCATTCATCAGGTTGGCCTGAAATTGGCCCCCAGGTTGCACATCACAGAGAGGGACCCCAACAAGCCTGCACAGATAACATGCTCACAATAATTTCCACAGGAAACAATATGCCAGACACTGAGGCTGTGAGGCTGTTTTCAGACAAGGAAATGCTCAGTTTGGAATGCAAACAGGAAAGGGTGGCACTTGGAAAAGGAGCTTTGCTGTACCACAGTTACCCTGGCTCTGCAGGACATCCCAGTGACCTGCTGGAAGAGGGACGTGTCAGCCCTGCCAGCTGCAGGACGAGCGGCTGCTGAGGTGCAATTTGGTGCATTGCCATCCATGAAGATGTCCTCGCAGCAGCCGGAGTTCACTTCTGGTTTCTTCATGAGGTTCTCGGCCCAGCTCCAGCTGAACTGTGAGAGTTGTGAACTGCCTCTAACTGCAGCACCAGTAAGAACTGGGCAAACCTGGAAGGACAGGCTTTAAAAGTCCTTTTGTTTCCCCCCCTCCCCGTGGTGTTTCCAACAGAAGGCATTTGCTTTTCTCACCCACCTCCTTGTGTTTCCCTTCTTGTAGTGCTGCTGTCCTTCTGGGTGTCATTTTTCACCCAGTGTTACCTTCCCCTGCTTTTTAAACCAAAATCTGATTGCAGTGGAAAAGTCTACAGCCTCCAAAGCCCAGTCCTTTACCCACAAAGAAAAAGCTGCCTTGGTTATCCCAGAGCCGCCTTAAGCACCACTGGCTTTTCATCGCTTTCTAATTACCAGATGACAGGCAGGGGATGATTTTAGCCAAAGGAGCCGTTGTACTCAGTTGAACCACCCACTAAATGAGAGAATTTCCAAAATAGCACCACAGGCTGCAGAAAGCAGACAAGGAATGGGAGATCCCCCTTGGTGCCTGCAAGCGGTGATCCCTGATGGCTTGGAGAGGTAAATTGCTGTGAAATTTCAGGGTGGGAAAGAAGGGTTCAATTTGCAACAATCTCAGGAATTCCACAGGCATGTCATGTCTGGGTGTTAAGACTGTTACATGGGGGGGATTCATTACCAAAAGATGGGGATTTTCTAGTCTTACTCTGCTTTTAAATGTTTGCCGTAAGAAACAACCCGCCTTAAGCTTCCACCTTCACTCGCCTGCCAGCTCCCAGCCCAGGCATGGCAGTAGCGGAGCTGGGAGCTGGATGAGCACCATGACTGATGTCTGACTTGCAGGCAGGATCATATCCCCAACACTTTTGGGGTCAACATCTGCAACATTGCCCTAACCAGCTGCTCTTTGAGCTAGAGCCGTGCAGCTGGACCTGGAGGTCCCTGTTGCACTGGGCTGGGTGTCTGTAGTCACGAGCATCACCCTAAGTGGTCGTACATCTCTGCCAATGGAAGCCAAGTGTGGTGAAACAGGCAGATAACGTGGTCCCCTGGAGGGACTCAAGCTCCCAAACTGGCTGGAAAAAGCTTGGCTGTCTCTCTGAACTAAATGTGCTGGTCTTGCATCTTTTCAATAAGGCCTACAGAGACCCAATCTTCCTTGTTGCGAGGCCACAGCCAGGCTGAGCCACTCTGTAACGGGTGATGCACTGAGCTGTCCTGATGCTTGCTGCACTGACGTACAGAGCAACGCCAAAGGCCCTTGCTGGTTCCCACTCCCCTGTCCATACATGCAGATTCCCTGTGTGACCATCACAGGCAGCTTTCCACGTTGCAGCTTCCAAAACAGCAAAACACATGGGGACCTGACAGACTCC